CAGCAAAAGGGGGTCACCAATAACTGAAACAATCAACAGGATTGCCACAGTACTGGCATCAGAGATAAGGCCTGGAGGAGACAGCAAAGTTCTCAACTGCAGGGCAGCGAGGCAGCAGCAGAAGTTTGAAGAACACGCTTCTTTAGAGCTAATTGCATCTTCCTTTGTCCTTTCGGGCAATGAAGGGCCTGGCCATCGCTGAGGCTACCTTCAGAACTCCAAATACAAAACTATGGCTCTTGCCATTTGCAGGGCATTTGAATTGCTGTTGATGTACGTTTCCTTTTCTAGAAACGATGCCAACAGACTGGTGTAATCAGTACTCCCAGCAATTTGTTATGAGGCTTTAGAATCTTTTGGATCACACCATCTATTCCCCAACTCTGTCATTAAAGGTCTTTCTCTAAAGTCTCCTAAATTTTTTCTTGTGTCATGGATGAGGGGATCACCAAGTTCTCTTCCTGGTGTGGTTATCCTTGACCTCTCAGGACACTGGGATTCTGCTTCACTCAGGACTGGGCAGTTCTTCCTGTCAGTCATAGTCTATGAGGGGTTGGATACTGTTCTCCAGGGTTTCCTGTACAGGCCACAGTGTCCATGGCAATTGTTCCGTATGTTGTCTCAAGGCCAAAACCCGCCAGTAGTTCCTTGAAGAGTTAGAAGCAAGGACTTGTGCACACCAGACACAATGACATGAGCTGCTACTGTGCATGCAGCATTGTATACATGGCATCGTGCATGTGGAACTACACACATTGCAAAAGCCACTGACTCAGAGTGTCGAGAAGAATCCTACACGGAAGCTCAAATGGTGAGAACAGTGGACATTCCTAAGGCTCAGCTTTCTGGACAGCAATTTTAGTAACTTACTCACCTAACACTGGGCTATAGGTGGACAAATTGCTATTACCCACTCTTTAGAAGCTGCATTAAAAATGAATGCTTATCTAGAGGGCACATGGCATGATCTACAGGGGGATTCTGGACCATATGCAAAACAAACTAACAAAAATAGCAGGAGGGGGTTTTGAGCATGAGAAGTCATTTTAAATAGACTTTATTTGCCTCTATACATTTAGATATTCCAAGGATTGTAAATGGTTTTTTAAACTGACAACTAAAATACAGATTATAGTGTATATTTCCAATTTATAAATGAAGAAAAATAAATTATCCTTAACTTAGAATATGGTCAAAAGAGTTAATATGTTCAGTTCATAAAATAGGAGTAAACAGATAATCCTCAAAATTTGTTTTTAAGTCTTTTGTAAATTATATATAAATATTTGTGGGCAAATGTATTTTGGTAAGGATGGTTCTTTCTTTTTTCCCTTTCTTTCTCTTTACTTCCTCTCCCTTCCCTTCTGTCAAAGCCATCTATGACTTAAAGACATCTCAGAACCACAACATATAATATAAACCAGTAGTCGGCAAACTGATGGGGTGATGAGACTATCTTTAGGAATTCAATCATATAAGCCTGCTTCACCACAAATATTTTCTCAAGATCCTTTCCTGAAAGAGGCATTATTCAACCCAGTAAAGAAAGCTAATAATCTGGCAAGTTAACAACAAAATTCCTAGGTATATTCCAAAATATTTTAACCTAGAAGGAAAAGACTGAAATGAAGAAAATATCTTTCACTTTTACAATACGAATCTTCTAAACTGACTATGACCCCATCCATGAAGGGTTTTCCCTGTCTTCACTCATTGCCTGGAACACCAAGCATGAGAATTCAGCCCAAATGAGGCCCACATTTCCCACCAAATGCTTGCACACACACTAGATGGTTAAGCATTGTGTCTGTAACTCCTACCTACTTTTTTCCTCCCCTTTTTTATCAATGGACAGCAAAAGGCAATGACAGAAGTGTGGTGTTTAAACCTACAGCACTGATAAGCTTACACTTTCTAGAAGTGCGATTTGGCAACGATGCATTAAACATTACATACACTTTAACACTCTATAAAGCTACAAACCGTTGACTTTCCCGTGACCTAGGAGTTCTAATCCTATTTGGCTTTTTTTTTTAAAGAAAAAAAATTGAAATGTAAAAAGTTCTATGCACAAAGATGTTTCTTTCATTGCTATATGCAATGGCAAAGAAGTAAGAATAGCTTCCAATATTGTCCAAAATTAAATGGTTTGTTTAATCCATACTTATACAGCAAGATATCCAGATAAACATTAATGGGGCAGTGGTACTGGAGACTGAGCCCACAAGAGAAGGCTGATCAATAAGATCTCAACTAAAACTGAAAGAGACAGGCAGGTCAACAGATATAAAAACAATGACACAAAAGCACCAGAATCATGAAAAATCAAAGCCAAATTCCTCAAATATTAAATTCCAAAACACTGAAATGGGAAAGATGCTGGGTGAAGATTTCAAAGGTTTACTAATAAAAACTGGTCAGTAACCTTAGAAGGGATATGAACAAGCAGATAATCAATCTAGGACCTGGAGAGGAAGCAAGGTAGAGGGGATGTCAGCAAAATGAACAAGCAAACCAGCAACACTGAAGGAAAACTCAGGCAGGAGGTTTATAGATTTAAAAAGTCATATAGAAATACGGAACATGAAAATCTCCTCAATAAAGTTTGGAAAACATAAAGAAGACTATCAGGAATGAAGAACAAGGTCAAGGTTAAATATTATTTTTTAAAACTGAGCAGCACCTACTACTGTGCATGAGCTCTGGAATAGGATCAAGAGATTGTCCTAGTTAGTTTTTATGTCAACTTGACACAAGGTAGTGTCATCTGAGAAGAGAGAACCTCAATTATGAAATTGCCTCCATGAGATGGGGCTGTTGTGGGTGAGCCTGTATGGTATTTTCTTAACTAGTGATTATTCAGAAGGGCCCAGCCCACTGTGGGGAGGGCCATCCCTGGTGGACCTAGGTGCTATAAGAAAGCAGACTAAGCAAGCCATGAAGAGCAAACCAATAAGCAGCATTCCTCCATGGTCTCTGCATCAATTCCTGCCTCTAAGTTCCTGCCCTGTTTGAGTTTCTGTCCTGATTTCCATTGATGGTGAACAGCAATGTGAAGTATAAGCAGAATAAACCCATTGGAGTTCCTGTGTTGATTTCCATTGATGGTGAACAGTGATGTGAATATAAGAATAAAGCCTTTCCTCTCCAAGTTGCTTTTGGTCATGGTGTTTCATCACAGCAACAGAACCCCTAACTAAGACAGACACCAAACTAAAACCTCCACAGGATAGAAGCACAAACTGGGGGGTAGGGGACTACTAAAGGCATAGAAAAATCTACTCAATGAAATTATAGTACAAATT